ATAACGCAAATATTGTTGCTCATGTTTAAATTTAAAATATCCAATACCTTTTCCTACCGAAACGCAGTGTTCTTGACTTGACTTTGTAGACATATTTCACGATTACTCAATAGCAAAATATTTTGTCTAAAAAAATAAAGTCAACAAAAAATTATATATGTATGCACGAACGACATGCCTACAATAAAATCTCGTTTATGACATGCAAATAAAATGTAAATTTAGTAGCCCAACAGTGACCACGGCAAAATAAAAATAACAAAACGAAATAAAATTCTATAAAAAATGTACCAACGAATATGAGAGAGCGAAGAGCACAAGATAAATAAAAACAAAAGCCGGCCGCGATAAATAAAAAAGCAAAACAAAAGCCCGAGATCGACTCGAGGCGGCAATAAAAATTTGTCGACTGTGTCAGCGATCAAAAGCGTTCAAAAAGCACGTGGGGGCGGAACAAATAGCCAGATAGAGACAGAAAGAGACGGGCAGAGGGCCAGCGAAAGAGACGGCATGAACGAAGAAGTGTGACGAAGAAGCAGAGCTGATGCACTGCACTTGCTGCTAATGAATGAAAACGAATGGCAGTTGAATGGAGAGCCGGGAAATGGAGTGAAACCAATTCACAGGCCCATAAAAATCGAGTACGAAAGAGTGCAACTAATTACCCATTGCTGGCTATATTGTGACAAATGCAGCAAGTTAGAGGGTAATACTTTAGAGAATTTTTACAAATAATAAAAAAAATTTATATATTTAGAAATCAATGACAATTAAATCTAAAAAAATATTTTAAATATTTTGTAAGAAGTTTTGTATTTTTAAAGATTTTATATTTGATAATTTTGGGAAATTCTTTGGTTTTTCTTCAACGGCTTGAAAAAAAATATAATTTTCAAACATTGAATTCTCGAATATGTTATGATACACTTGAGTCAACATTGTTCTACAATTATTATAATTCAATTAGTATCAAATGAGCCGATCTTGAGCTGCCCACTCATGCGAAACGAATGCTATTATGAAACCGCTCTAATAACTAAGATAATGCCAATAGAGACCCCTCCGATCTGTCTGGCTGCTACAGATACCGTTACTCTGGCGACTGCACTACAATGACAACGTGAAAACCTGTTACACTTTTGACCAAGTTTTGTTCGCTAGCTGCTGACTCATAGCACAAAAACAAAAAAATATCGGGCGTGCGACGATCTTGCTAATTGCTAGGGGCAGAAAAACGAGGGGAGATATACCTGGGACTCGTGTGACTGACACCTGCGATTAGCTTTTAGCCCCCGCTTTTTTGCCACCAACAACCATCCCCCCTCCAAGCTCCATAATCGTTGAACCGAATAATTTGCATGAAACTCGGCTTAAACGTTTCACTCAGCGCAGAGAAAGAGAGGGAAAATAAAAAAAACAAAGTTTCGGTCATTCACTTTGCCGCAGGTTTATTGTTGGCGTTTGTTTATCTTTGGCTCTTTCATCTCGAGCTGTGAACTTGTCAGTTACAGCAAATTTGCATTGTGTTAATTTAAAATATTCAATTTACTCGTTTGCTAATTTTATTTGAGGCATTTTGAAATGTGCAAAACTGGTACATGCATTTTTAAGAGCATTTTAACGATTATCGCACCCGGATTTAATTGCTTTTTAGCAGCACCAATGACGGTTAAGCAAAAGTTTTAAATACCTAAATTATTTACGAAAAATCCCAGTTAATTGTCATTTAATTTGCAATTTGCATTCCAAATATATTACGCAAAAGGGATCTTATCTCGACCGCCTGTATTTATACTTTTTACGAGCTTAATTGTGGATAATTTATCATCGAACAGTTTGAAAGTAAAAGGTAACCCAAATTTTATATAATTTCAGGAATTGCTTATTTGGATTGGCTTAGGAATTTAAATTTAAATACGGTCGGTTTTATCAAGGCGATGGGAAACAGAATGAGAAAGCGACAACAACGGTAGGCGGAGAATGAAAATTGTTTAAATCAACTTTAATTGAAATAAATTGTCATATCATTTGCCCTGGAAATGGAAATGGACTCAATTAGATGCGGGCCATGTGCGGCTCTACTTTACTACATTACTTTGCCTATCCTAAAAAAATGCTCTTTCTTATTCTTCTACCCCTGGAACATGGAACATTATAAAGCACCATCAATCAAGGGGGGAAAATGAGAAATTGAAATATGACAAGAACCTATACAATCAGTCGAGGGATTGATGACCACTCTGGGTAATGGAAAAATGGAAAATCTACTTAAAAAATTGTTGGACACATGCCTAAATAGATTGTAAGACTAATTGAGTGAAAGTCATTTTGTACATGAAAATCATTTGAGATGCCAAACAACCTTCGAAGCGCTATAAACACAAAATAAACATAATTAATAGCAGGCATAAAGACCGAGAGAAATAAAAAGTGAGATATCTGCTTAGATACAGTGCGTTTCGTGATTTTAGCTGGATTTAAGATGCCGTTTTACTACCAATAAAAATCGAATTTAATTTTGCAGTTATTCTTTAAGATTTTTGGGTTTTTATCAATTATAAATTTATGCCCATTTTATGATTTTGGTAAGAAGCCCCCTTAAAAGTTTTACAATCTCGAAAGCCACTGTGTAATCTGTTTGGATTGAAATACAAAATCTTGACCAAAACTTTGCGGTTAAGTGCGCACGCACAATGGACTTCCTCTGATCTCTCTGCCTCCCGAATAACCCCACCTCCTCATAAAAACCACATCTGAAATACAATTTATGCGAGCCGCCGTCGACGTATAACAGTTTTATGCAATTTATGTGCAATTTTTCAATTGAAAAATCGCCGGACCAGGCCAGGAAGGTTTCACTTAATGCGACGCAATTTCAGTTTTATTTTTTTTTTACCTAAAATAATTTTTTCTTTTTCTCTCTCGGTTTGTTGAGTATTAAATTCGCATGTGCGAAACGTTTCAGATTTTAGTTACTACTACTGCCGCACGATGACAGCTACGCGAACTTTTAATTGCAATTAATTTGAGTGACATTTGCGAAATAAACTGAAACTATAAATCGATTCAGGGCGGTGACGACATTGAGCAATTGAAAAAATATTGCAAATATTATGGTGGTCATCTGAAAGGATGTGTTGTATTAAAGCTTTTGCAGCGAGAATTTCAAAGCAATTTAAGTAGAATGTTTAGAAACAAACCCCAATTTGAAAATGATGAAATACAAATAAAAAATAATTAATTGAATATTTAAAAATTTTGGGCTGTATTCTGACTTTAAAAAAGCTTAAAAAACCGAAAAATGTTTCTTTAATCCTAAACAATTTCGTAACACTAGTTATCTCCTAAAAAAATGTAGCTATTGGTTTTTATTTATAGTTTCTTTACTAGGCCACTATTAAACCATTCATTTGACGATTCATTAATTCTCCATAAATACAAACTCCACAAAAAGACTCGTTCTGGCTTAAGCAACAAATTCAATGTCAAATCACCGGTCTGACATCATTAAAACCCCATCGTTAACCACAAACAGCAGCTTCTAGTGCCATTCATCAAAATCTGGTCTATGTTTAGGCCAGGCCAACTTCCTTATCAATCATACGACATGAGAGTAGTTTTTTACCCATAGAATTTGCATATCAAACGTACCTGCAAAGAAAAGAGAAGAGAAGACAAATGAAATAAATTAATAAAGATTGAAATTTATTCGCGGACGTGGGAAAATTTGCCGAAGATACAAGCCAGAAAAAAAGAGTAATTCTTGTTAACACATTGAAAGTATCAAATGAACAAGCAATAAATTGGGACCAGATAATTATATAATGACGGAGGCATTAAGAATATATTGTGTATGGTATATGTATTCGATTTTAATGAGAAAAATAACCATAAACACGACCAAAGTCAAGTGGAAATCGGGAGAAGCGAAAATCCGAAATCCAAAAAGCCGCAAATTCGACCCGCATTTTTGGTTTGGCTATCAAATTACCCCCGTTTCTCCCCAGCAAACACAATTGTCCCGCATACGAAAAAAAAAGAAAACGAAGTCAAAGTCAACATTTGGCTCTAAGAGGGGTTTATTTTTCCATTTTTTTTCGGGGGGAACTTCACTTTACACACGTGTGACTACAACATTCAACATTATTTGTTGTCGTCTAAGCAAATAGGTAAACAAACAGAGACAGAAAAAGTGGCTGGGAGAGGTGTGTAAAACAAAGAGTTTGACTAATAAGGATTTTAGCACGAGCTAAGATTCGCCTTAAATCGAGAGTAAAACACACAGACAACTGCGACTGCAAGATGAAAGAACAAGTAAATAGTGGTTCAGAAAACACAGTGGCCGCAGATTAAATATTGTACTATTGGCTTAGGACAGCTATCACTAGAATTTTAGACGTTCTCAATAAGAAGCGAAAAAGGCATATTTTAGAAAAATAAAACTTTACTCATCTTAGCTGATTAATTTAATATTATTATATTAAAATAACTGGTTACGTCTATAAAATGTTATAATTAAGATTTTCAAAATAAAAAAGTCTTACTACTATTTTTAGGCAAGATTATTTTTCAACAAAAGCTTATTGGTTTTCTCAGCTTTATGACAAAATTAAAATATAAAATAATTTGTTATTAAAAAAAGAAAACATGGGCATTTTTAATATTATTTTGTTCGTATTGGCTTATTTTACAGTACTCTGAATTGATATATTTTTGAGGTATATTTTTAGTGCAAAGCCTCTAAATATATATTTAATTTCCGAGGCACTTTCAGAAAATTGTTAGTGGATGATCCTAACAAACTATTGTAAACAACTCTAGTCGAGTGACCACTGTTGTTAGCAAAACGCTTCTGCAAAATGCAACTTCAGACGGCAAACAAACAGCGTAATAGAGCTGAGTTTGCTTTTTATTGTTGCTTGCCTGCGATATTTACGATTTGCGATGTTTGGCAATGTTTGTTTTTTTACTAGGGGGGTTTACTGAGTTTTTTTGCTTACCGGATAATACATTCCTTGCGGAGGAAGAAAAAATGCCCCTGAGCCCCACAGTTTGACGGCTTTTTATGTTCACAGTGGCGTCGCAAATGGTGTTAACTCCTCTCTGCTTTTTGCACTCGACAATTTCTCTGCGTGTATTTGTTGGGGGTTGGCCAACAACAAGGGTAGTTCACTATTCTTTTTTTTCACTTATTCTCTGTTTTGCAAATATAACATTTGTTTTACAAATTCTATTTGATTTATTTTGATTATACTCTTGGTTTTTGGCACAATTTTGTTTCTCCTTTTCTTTAGATACACTTTGACTTTGACTACAAAATAAGTAAGTCAGAAATTAGGAAAAATAAAAATATATTTTGGAACACGCTTTTGCACTTTATGGGAAATTATTTCTCCGCACACGCAAAACTATTATATTTTTCAATGTCGCACGTGCGAGCGAGCGAGACGGGGCGCGACTGGGCGAAAGAGAGGGGACGAAATGGCGATATAAAGTACAAATTCTTGTTTAGTTGTTTTTATAGGGGTGGCTTTTTGCGGCCTCCTGGGAAACTGAACTGAAAACTCCCTGGATGTTTTAATTTTTCGAAACGAAAACAGAACCGAAACAGCGAGCCAAAGGGGAATGCGCAAAAAAGACGGCGCAAACGCGAGACAAAAGAGATGATGCGAATGAGGCGAGCAAGAGGAACGAACAGGGGGCGACCGAAAAGCAGACGGCTACAGTAAAAACTACGCAAATTTTGGGGATAATTTAGTTAATTTTTTTGTTTTAAGAATTTGACTTTAAATGTATTCTTCTTCATAATAAAACCTTTTCTAAAGTCATTTATACGTAATCGGTAAATCTTAAAATTTGTATTGGAACCGGAAATCAAGTTGAAAAAGTAATTTAAATTATTTGGCTATGGCAAAAACAATGTGAAATTTTTGGCGAACAATTACTCCTTATCATATTACGATAAGAGGAATTTATTTGGAATTCGGTTGTGCTTATCACGTTTAAATATTGAAAATCGAACACTACTGAAATAAATCTACTTCGTGATAAGTTCACTTTATAGTGCGTTTATTTTATTTTTTTGAATGAAACGAGTTACAATAAGAATGCAGTCCACTTTATGGACCGTTGACTGTAGTCCCGATGTCTGCCTTTCGATTTTTGATCACACACAAAGGCCTTTGATTGTCTGCGTTACTACGCATCCCTGAGATACTTTTTTTCGCGCGTCTGCACTTTTCCTGGTATTCCGTGCGCTTTGACTTATGAAACGAAATTCATCATATGTTCTGAGGGGTTTATTTCCGACTTTATTACCGATTTTATTACAATTGCATATATATTTTCGCGAAAGGCGAACAAACAAAGCAGCTGAGAGAGAGCAGAGCAGAGCGATGCTGTCGCCTGAGAGAGGGAAAGCGCCAGCAGATGAGTGGGAAAAATCGAATCAGAATCTCGGGAGAGCGGCCAAGAAGGATGGCAGGATAAACGAGCAGGCGAAGCGGAGGCGGCGAAGGCAACAACACAGCAATGGCCACAAAAACATGTGCGCCGTGAATGAATTTTGTAGTTTGGGATGCTGCGGGCGGGCGGGGCGGCACTCTTCTTCTTCGTTCGCCTGCTCCCAGCCGCATGGCATATATATTTATTTTTAACTTTTCATTTCATTTATCTCTGCGCGTTTTTCTCATCTCCTTCGCTTTTGGCTGATTTCGGCACTGCACTTTTCGCGTTTCAAAAATAAACACGGGTTTTCATCTTCTTTTTCAACACAACTTCCCCTCCCCCGCACTCGCTGTTATTTTCTGATTTTTGTTTTGTACCGTTTTGGCTGCTTTGTATTGATGCGCTGCGTGTGTGCGTTTGTTTTCACTTTCAAGCGTGCCGAGTTTCCGCTGGGAAATACGATTTTCCGCTACTCCGACACCCACGACTTGTTGCGAAGAGAGAGAAAACGTAAGTGTTATACGTAAGAGTCAGTTATACGTAAGTGTCGTTATACGTAAGTGTAAACGTAACGCCGGCTCTCCGTCATTAACTCAGAGTGAGAAGAGAGGGAGAGTGACAACGCAACTGCGGCTATCGATAAACGGTCGCTCTTTCATCCAATCTACGGTGTGACCATGTCGTATGCGCGACTTTATCCCAAAAACTTAAGCAAAACGTAATGTTATAAAACGTATTATAGTCTCGAGAGAGAGAGAGAGAAATCGCTCAGAGCGTAAAAACCCATTAGTGCTTTGACCCAATCGCAAGTAACGTAAGTGTTCGGCGCTCTCTGCTGGAAACACGTTAGTGAATTGCTCAAAATTGCGTTGAGGATGCCACTTGTACTCGCTGTTCAACACTCGATATCGATAATTGTATCGAAATGTTAGGCAATTTTCAAATTTTAAAAACTTTTTATACCGAATTGGAATCTATATTTATACGAATAAAGTTTGTGTATTTAAAATTTAAAAGAAAAGGAACTTGAATTACATTTCCTCATTATTTGTATCATTTTATTTAATTGATTTTAATGGCTTCGTTAAACACAGGTTTTAAAGCAGCGGTCGGCAGCGTCCTATTAAGTGAGCATAGGAAATTGTTCTGCTCGAGCGCTGCCTCCACCAGTATACGTAGAACAGCGGTCTGCGCACACACACTGTTAAGCCGTCCCGTACAATTTTAACAGCTTTAAAACAGCGGTCGGCACACTCATACAATTACATTTTGTTTTATATTTGTGTGAGTAATTTGCACTGGGCAGCTCATCGATGTGTGTGTAGACCCTGTTCTACAGTGACTGACGAGCAGCGGCTGGCGACAAAACCTATGCTCACTTAATAGGACGCTGCCGACCGCTGTTTTAAAGCATTAAAAATATAATTCAGATCATACAAGTAAACTCACAAGCAATTACATTACAATTACGATTACATTTTAATAAGTATAAAACCGTTTGTAGATCTATGTAGACAATTTTATCAATTTTCAGGATGAATATGTTTATTTATTAACAGGTATTTGAGATAAAATAAGAATTATTAACTTATTTTACAATCTCATTATTTTAACTCGTTTTTAGAGAAAGTGTAAAAATCTTAAGTATTTTTTCTGGTTAAACCTACTCTTATAACTCAAGGACTTGGACAAACTACTTTTAAAAGTCAAATAAAGTTATTATCTTAAAAATTCAGTTTTAAAGCCAAATCCAGCCAGCTTTACCGCATCCCATGTTTTTATTGCTGCAAAACGAGTGCCGTTTCGCCCTCTTAAAACTGTTAACCCGTTTCTGACCATCAAAAAGTCGCCTTCTGGCATTGTCTCAGTTCCCCGTCAGTTTTTCCCCTTTTCCCGCTTTTCCTCCCGAATATATGACCATCATATAGGCTCAACAAACAACGTCCGAGGTCCGACAAATCAAAAATGCGGCATGAGTCGACTCGGACAGGGTGAAAATTCTGCTTTGGTTTTTTGGATGGTACAGGGAAAATCGTTCTGCTACCGAGGTTTTCGGGGAAGTTGGGTGGTTGGATTATAGTCGGGTGGTCCAGTAAAACCAAATCAAAAGTGTCAAGCCTCATTTTAGGTTGTCCAGGACAACACTTGTCAAGACACAGAGAAAAAATCCTTAAAACTGGTAAAAAAAATTTATTATCATTTTGCTTAAAAAATACACGCCAAAATCTGTTGAATATTTAACGGGTTTAAAAAAGTTGTTTTTAAATAAGCATTAGAAACTTTAAACCAATTTAAAAACTATAAAAGATAAAATACTAAAATAATCGTTGTTCTTAAATGATAGGTATAGGAATTATAATTTTAACATTTTTAATTTTATTTAAAAATAATAAATATTTTTAAAAAAATTAAATAAATACAACATTTGTATTATTTTTATAAAACCCTTTCTGTGATGTAACATAGTTATAATTGATAATCTCCAGAAAATTTAATATAAAGATTTCTGGTATGGTAATACATTTTTTTTCAGTATATAACTAGCAACAAATAGTAGGCGTGGTTGTCGGGGAGGCTTATTAACGCGACGGACAACAGCAGGCGTCAGTTTGAAAGTGGAAAACAGGAGGAAAATCGGGGGGAAGTGGGTAAAAAGCGGGGAAAAGGGGAGTTGCAGATTTGAAATGCAAATGCATTCACAGCCAGAGTGAAAGAGAAAGGCGCTGGCTGACCGAACGAGATAGTCAGTCATAGAAAGTGAGAAAATGTTCGCTCGGCATCCGGACCAAAAAGCTGCACATGATACGCCACCCCCTTTAGATTTTCCCCCTCCCCCGTGGACTTTCCACCCGCCACCCGCATAAATGCAAAAAGTCCCCACGGCGGTAACTTTTAAATCCCTTTTGGCCGGCAAATTGTCGCCAACACTCTGAAAAACGGTAGCCTGTAAAAATGAGCAACGTGCCTGGTTTCTCACCACTTTTCCCCGGTTTTCCACGCTTTTCCACGTTTTTCGGCTAAGCTGCTTGAGGCAGCCAAAGCATCGCGAAAAATTGAATGCAGGCGAGTCGAGGGAAATGCAGATAGGGTAAAGTATGGGAGATAAGTTATGAAAGTATCTTAAATGTGGAAAGGTAAAAATGGAAAAAAAGGGGGAATGGGATAAATCACTTTTAATATGCTTAATGGAAATGCGATGAAAAATGATTCAATCAAAGAGAATTGTGTGCGATACAAAAAAATACAAAAGTAGCTTTACAATGCTTACAATACTTATATCAAGAAAATATAGATAAATGAACGTTCTAAATAAATTACAACTTTAAGGGAAAATAATAAAATTAATGGGTTTAATTGGGTAAATAAATAAAAAATTTATTAATTTCGGAAATTATGACAAAGAAAAAACTAAAACTAAAATATTTATTTTATAATCTTGGCATGGGAAATAGTGTTTTCAGAAGACATTTAGATTTAGTTTTATTTTATTTTATTTATTTTTATTTTATTTTAAAACTAATATTTATTGCTAAGATTATATTTATTACCGAAAAACACCTTTTTAATGCATTGAAAAGCCATCTTCAAGATTATTCTCGCCCAATGTCTAAACTTTCGACATCCCCTTAAACTGCAGCCAAGCGCGACTTGGGGAAAACTAAAGGAAAATGCCTCACTCCTGTTTTCCCAATCCCCCCCTTTCACACACACACACCGCCTTTATCCCCCGGGAGCTGACCTGCCTCTGAGTTTGATATATGTAAAGAGGGAAAAGGGGGAAATGCGGCCAACTAACCGCAAACAATAACAAACGATGGCCAAAAGCGAAACAGAAGCTGTTTCTGTTTCAGTCTACACCTACACCGCCTCTTTCGCCCCCCCACCCCTCCCTCGAGCTACGTAGGCGGGGGGCGTGGCAGCTGCTGGGGGATCTGTCGGGGTGCCATTTACAAGGAGCAAAGGATTTATGATGCCTGTTATCGCGCCCAGAAAGCGCGAAGGACGCACAGCAGGGGAAAACGATGACAAAAGGTGCCCACTGGAGGGGGTGGGGGATGTTTGGGAAACTCCAGGGGGATGGGCTGGGAAAATCAGCAATGGCGTGGAAAGCAGATAACATCTCGCACGCAGCCAATAAAATATATACGAAAAAAAAACAAAGCATACATTTTTGGGCCGGCTATTCAAATGAGAAAATTTAGTAAAAGCTAAGTTCAGGTTATAAAAATGTATATAAACAAACAAAAATGTAAAATACCTTTGTACAAATTTAAAGAATTATTCATAGTTAAGTAAGTTATTTAATTAAATATTTTCTTAATTGACGTTTTAAAATTAGGCTTTATACCAAAATTCTATATAATTTTCATGTCATATTTAAACCTTGGAAGCACTGTCTACATATGTTAAACAGGAAATGTAATGGCTTAAAAAAGGGGTTGGAAATGAGGAGGGTCTGAAAAGGGTTATTCTGTTTTGTTTGGGGCAGCATCCCCATAAACACATGTGTTCATTCACTTGGAGCGTAAATTGAAAAGCCTCGGGTTGAGCTTTTCTCCCCGCTCCAATTAATCGAGACTTTATGAGGTTATTTATCTCAGCCAGGCAAAACCGCCCCCATGACCTTGAGTGTTACCATCAAATCTGCATTAATTAAATTAAATTCTGCTGCCAAAAAGAACGCATAGCGTCTAATTAAAAAGCCAAAAGCCGTTTGCCCATTTAGCAGAGGCTAAAAGTATCTATTACTTGATGCTAGTGGGGCTCTTACCGCGCCAGCCTCCTAAATTAGTCAATAAATTAAGGCAGCCAGAATGTTGCTGTTTCGCCGCTTTCCGCTCGCTCTTTTTCCTAACGAGCCAAAAACCATTGCATTAAAAAAACCATTCATTAAAATGGCGAAATGTGGCGCTCAAATTTATGGCCCAAATGGCAGGGAGACCTGTGCGTCGTCTCGAGTGGCTAAGGAAAAACAACCGGGAAAAAGAAACAGAAGCAGCTTCCTTACTCAGAAGCGGTTCAAATCTTTAACCGGAGGTTTGCGTGGAATTCCCTTGGATCTTTAGGTTTTTACCACAGAAAAACAAGCGAATAAAACTAGCAGGTGGACTTGGTCGCAAGGAAACTATGTATTTTTGATACCCTGTGTTATTGTATGGCTATACAAATTTTTGATTAGAAATTATTAAAAATATAACTTAGGCTCTGTATTTATTACCAACTTTTTTTAGTATTTCACCCTGGTTAAGTTTGTATTAATTTATATCCATTAGGTTAAATTTCTGCATAAATAGTTAGTTTTATTCCAAATATTTTCGGGTCTATTCTTCTATTATTCTTATATTCTCG